GTTTGGTTCCTCAGAAACTTAATTAATAATTAATCTCTATTCACAGAATTATGGCTTTAAGATAATTTTAGTTTCCCATTTCATTACAAAAACAAAAAGAAAATAATTTTCCGCCAGAAATTTTCTGGGAAATTAATGGTTTTAAAAAAAGACAAAAAAGGCGAATCTAAAAAGCAGAGAAGTTCCTAATCTGACTGCCAGCGACACATTATGAAATTTAAAATGTCCACCTTCAAAAGAAAAGGGAAAAGGAAGAGAAGATTTTACGCGGTTGAGTCTGAGTAATCTGCAGAGTGCGAAGTGCGAACACAGACAGAGCGGGAATAGGAAATAAATACTGAAAAATTAAGAAGCCCGGTGTTTTGTGGAAACCAGACTGTAAAAGATGAGGTTTTGTTTGTCTGTGTTTTACTGTGTTATAGGGATAAGAGTTTTTTTTCTATCTTTTACTATTCAAAAATATACTCCATGAGCCTGAGCTCCTTCCTAATCTAAGTTGTAAGATCCAGACGCAATGCAAATGGGGTTCTACCAAGCAGAGGGTTAGAACCAGATCTGGGTTTTGTTATCGAACCCAGATTAGTCGCCAGCCGAAAAATGAAATAAGGGGAAACAGAGGGTAGGAGGGATGGGAGAGAACGGAGGAAGAGAAAGCCTGTCGATGCCAGAGAAGGGGAAAGATCACCGCTACTAGTGCAGGGAGGTGAAAAGGAAGAGGAGGTAAATAGGATGGTATAAGTGGGATTGGGAACAAGACAAAGGGAGGGGTGCTTCTGTAATTTTAACTCCATAAATTTTATTAAAAATACTAGTAATAATAAAAATTAGGACCCACAATTTGATTTTTTTTGAGTACGATAATGTCAATATTTTTTAATAATTCTTAATATTTAAAGGTTATATTAAATTTTAATTAATTAGAGTTATATTATGTTAAATTTTATAAGGAAAAAAATTTTTATTTTTTATTTATAAAATTTAAATTTAAATTTTTATTTTAAAAAATTTGAACAAGTGATTTATATGATAATGTTTATATGATACTACATAAATAATCACATGAACTTGTTTGAATATTTATTTAATTTCC